CGCGGGCAGGCGGAGTCCGGAACATGGCGGAGGGGCCCGCGGCGCGCAGAGCGCGGGGGCGCGGCGGCCGGCGCCCCGGGAGTGGTAGCTGCTTTGGCGGCCGCCGCGGGCGAGGTCGCCGCCATGGCCCCGCTGGATCCCGACCAAGCGGCAGAAGTACGGGGTCGGTGAGTGCTCCCGACTCACTGAGTGCGGCGCGAAGTTGGGCGGCGGACGCGGGCGCTGGGTGCGCGCTGCCGGGACGGGTCCAAGTCCGGGTCCGGGTCCGGGTCCGGCTCCCGCCGCCCCGCGCGCAGGCGGATCCCCTCCCGCGGCAGCTGTGGGGCGGACGGGGAGCAGAGCCCTCCGGGCCCCGCGGGGGAAGTTAGTGGCTAAAAGTGCATTTGGCATTTGGGTCCGGGACGGGTCGAGTTGCTGCCGAACCCAAAGCTCCAGCGCTTGGCTGAGAGGCAACGCCAGAGGCGAGGGCGCCCCCGGTTACTCGGGGGACCCCCGCTCCTCCCCTCAGAGCCGTTCCCTTCAGAAGTTGCAACCGCCCAGGTCGGCGGAGCTGTGCTGCTCGCGGTCCCGGTGTCTGCCTCCCTCTTGGACTCTCTCCGAAGCCCCCAAGCGAGGAGTTGGGGGTAGGAAGCCCCCTCCCCTTCCTCCGGGCCTGGGTGCCGGTTACCGCCGTAAAGTGAAGGGGGACCCACTGGTGTGGATGCGGTGGGAGCGGCAGGAAGCGCGCGCTGGCTTGGGAATGGGCGTGGGGACCTGGGGCTCACCTAAGGGGTGTAAGGAGCGGGTCAGGACTACTTTCTGACTCTCGAATTTCGTCGCGGGCTCAGCCGAGGACATTTTACTTTTTAAAATTTTATGGGTTGGTTTTGGAAAGAGAGGAAGCGGGGAGAGGAACATTCATTTTGTTGGTGCTTTCATTGGTTGACTCTTGCATGGGCCTGACCGGGGATGGAGCCCGCAACCTTGGTGTTTGGGCCAGCGCTCTAACCAGCTGACTACCCTGCCCGGCTCAGAGGACATGTTATTCAGGAAACGTGCCAGGCACCTGGCATCCGCAGCAGCGGCGCTGGAGGGTCCCCTGACCAGCGGAGGGGTCGCTGCTGTGCTGGTTGGGAGCCCAAACTGAGTGCCAGTGCGGGGTTTTGATCCAGGTGAACACCGTGGTCCTACGCAGGTCTTGTGGGAAGACTGCCATTCGAGGGAGATTATGGTGGCAATTAGGTTTCCGAGGGATTCCCTGGTGTAAACAGATGTGTGCCTTGAGAATGGTATCACTTCCTCTCAGGTTCATTCATTGGGCCTATTCGTAATCTAATCTCTTATTTTACTCCCTTTCCTGCCCCATTTTTCCTCACCTCACTCCTTACTAGGGAGAGGTCCCTGAACTTTCTGATGGCAACGTCACTTTCAGAGATAACTCTTAACATCTCTGGGTTCTTTTAGATTCTGTAGCCCTGCGTCAGTTAATCAACCAAACAGAGCCTCTCCATATATATATTATTCATTGTCTTCCCCTATTTCAAACCTTTTTTACCTTTAGATTTCTCTTAGAATCCTTGCCCTCTCCCATGGCTACATCTCAAATAGCTAGGCGTTGTTTCTCCTGCCCCTAACGAACCACGTGGCCATGACGTGGTCTGGAGGCTTCAGACAGGGACTCATAGTCCCGTGACAATAAGTAGCCACTGGCAATGGAGGTAAAATGCTATATAATAGATGGGATTGTATAAAGCATATTGAGCAGTGTCTAATTGTTACTTAGTACTTACAAAAAAGGTTATCAATTCGAACTTTGTTTAACAGGATAAAAGCTGTTTCCAAAACTACTAGGACTTTGGTGTTGTTAATGCAATCATAGCTCCAAAATGTGGTTTTTCTTGAGATAGTCATAGGAGCAGGTATGATATGTTCTCTTTGTTCCCCTGCCCTGGACTCAGGTTACCTTATTTGTCATCATTCAAGAAAAGTATTTGGGCCCTAACTGGTTTGTCTCAGTGGATAGAGCGTCGGCATGCAGACTGAAGGGTCCCAGGTTTGATTCCCATTAAGGGCACCTGCCAGGTTGCGGGCTCAATCCCTAGGAAGGGGCGTGCAGGAGGCAGCTGATCAGTGATTCTCATTGTTTCTATCTCTCTCTCCCTCTCCCTCTCCCTTCCTCTCCGAAATCAATAAAAATATATTTTAAAAAAAAGTATTTGGGAATTGCATTTCCAGGGCATAGGTCATAGCAAAGTTGCCCCCAGGATAGAAGGATAGAATTTGAGACACTCATTTCACTGGCCACAATAGAATCTGATGAATCCATTGACAAAAGGACCCACTGTTAGGACAGATAATCTGAGAATAAATCTCTATTGTTTATTCCTAAAGCACATTGTTGTTCATATCACCTCGGTGCTTGGAAGACTCCTTGGCCTACAGGGTAAAGTCTAAACTGAGCCCAACTATCAAGGTTCCTATAATCCAGTTCAGTGTATCTTCACCAACCTTATCTCCCCTGGCTTCTTTCATTAACCCTCCACTGCCCTCCTAGCCCTTGTGCAATACGCCAGGGAGTGTCCCTCTTATGACTTTGCTCCCTTGTGCTTGTCCCCTGTCCAGAGTAACCTCCTGCCCTCTGCATCCCACAATCCAGACTTTTCCTCGGGGCTCAGATCCATTCCCACCTTCAGACCTCAAACCTTCATACTTCTTTCTCACAATTCCTACAACATGCCATCCCTTATTTCATTACATATCCTGCTGTCCTTGGGTTTAATGAACCAGAAGGTTATGGTTTTATTTTTTAAAAAAATATATGTATATTTTTTATTGATTTCAGAGAGGAAGGAAAAGGGAGGAGATAGAAGCATCAGTGATGAGAGAGAATCATTGATTGGCTGCCTCCTGCATGCTGCCTCCTGGGGATCAATCCCACAACCCTACCATGCAACCTGACCAGGAATCAAACCTTGACCTCCTGGTTCATAGGTTGACACTCAACCTCTGAGCCCTGCCAGCTGGGCAGTTTATGGTTTTCTGTCCCTGTCACTCGAGAGGTAGACCAGGTATAGAGCGAGCATTTACTAGTAGTAACTGCTTGTCCTTGGTGTGGGGATGATGTCCTAAAGCACTAGCTTAACTTCTGTGATGATGTAATGCAGTTTTTCCTCCACTAGGTTTTAGCATCTCGTTCACTCTAATATAAGTTTTGTTTTGTTTTGTTATACGGACGACAAACTAAGAGCCTTGCTGAGAAACAAGGAAGCATAGAATAGACGGACTCTATTTACATGTAATTGGAAAAAAATGGCTTGTGGGACTTTTGGGGGGATTGTTTTCAATTCTGAGTGTCTGCTAAACAGATTTCATTTCCAGGTGAAGGAAACCATGTTTGGTCATTTTGAAGCCTCAGAGCTGCTCTGTGTAGGGTAGCACTTTGATCTCACTTTGAATTGTGGGCAGTGGAGCCAGCAGTCTCTGCTGTCTTATGTTATCTTGGTGCCACCGTTGGCTGTCCCTGACATAGCCTAGATTTTTCTACAGGGACTGAAATGCAATCTGCCTGGGCTCTCTTAGTTCTTAAACGTAGCATTATTGTCTCAATCTTTAGCATTAGGTGGGATTATTATACCTACTAGACGAGGCCCAGCGCACGAAATTCGTGCATGGGTGGGGTCCCTAGGCCTGGCTAGCAATCAGAGCCGATCAGGTTCCCTGCCTCCTCCTTCCCTTGCCACCCGCACTCTGCCACTGCGCAGTTCCCCACATCCCTGCCTCCTCCTTCCCTCGCCACCCATGCACCATCACTGTGCGGTTCCCCGCCTCCCCGCCTCTCCCCCCTCCTTCCCTCGCTGCCTACGTCCACCACCACCCACCTCCGATTCCCCGTCCCAGCCTGGGGCCCAGCCCCAATCGGTTGATCGGGACCTGCCAGCCATGGGGAGGGACCAGGAGGTTGGCCGGCAGGCCCCATTGGCAATCGGGGCCTGTGGGCTGGGGGAAGCTCCTGCGTTGAGCGTCTGCCCCCTGGTGGTCAGTGAATGTCATAGCGACTGGTCGTTCCAGTTTGTTTCTGTCGTTCCAGTTGTTCTGGTCGTTCCGTTGTAATGGTCGCTTAGGCTTTTATATATATAGATGTGTGCTATCTTATCAAGTGAGAGAACCAGTGGGCCTGCTTCTTTAAATGCCCATTAATGCCCAGATGTGAAGGGCTCAGTACCTGAGAGCTTAGGAAAAAGTGCTCTTCGCCCCAGCCAGGGACAACTCTTTTCTTTCTTCCTTCCTTTTTCTTTCTTATTTTCTTTTCTGTTACTCTTTCTCTGTTTCTTTTTTAGTGTGTTCTGTTTGAGGATATGAGGCTATAAACACTTTTATTTAGATTTTAGTGATAAATATTCACATTAGTGCCTGGCCAGTGTTGCTCAGTGGTTGAGCGTCAACCTATGAACCAGGAGATCATGGTTCGTTTTCTGATCAGGGCACATGCCCAGGGAGCAGGCTCAATCTAATCAATAATTCTCTCTCATCATTGATGTTTCTGTCTGTCTCCCTCTCCCTCTCTAAAGTCAATAAAATGATTTTATAAAATGAATCAAATTGTATTGAAATACAGTTGTCAAGATATTTTCAAAATTTATGATAGTGTAATAATATATATGCTCTCTATTAATTAAAAAACAAGATCTAGTGGTAAGTCTAATAACTACCATACTTTTGAATTAGTGATGGGCATAAATGATTTTTTAAGATACCTGCAATAACTACAATATGATATGAAAATACCTGTGATCTACTGGTACTGCCGTTGTAACTGGTTTTATTGCCTATAGTCGTAATTGAAGTATATGCTGAGTGTCAGAAAATAGAACTGTACTTTTTTTCCTTTTCAAGTCCATGATCCTCTGAATTTGAACACAGATTAAGAATCCTTGGCTGAAGATCATACAGCTAATTAGTTATAGAACCAGAATAACCAACAACAGTAACACTTGTTGATCATCTGTCTACAAGAAACACTGTGCTCAATATTGTACAATTGTAATGAATTGAAGAATCCTTGCCCTAGTGTATTCATGTCCTAACAACATTGAGGCTAAGAATGAAGGAATAGAGAATTAACATTTATTAAGAATTTATCTACTGACAGGCACTGTTCTGCATACATGGAGGTCTAGAGACACTTTCA